TTTTTTTTTTTTTTTTTTTTTTTTTTTTGAGTCTGGGTCTCACTATGTAGCTCAGGCTTGCCTTGAACTCACTATGTAGCCCAGGCTGACCCCTGACTCGCAGCCATCCTTCTGCCTCAGCCTCCCCAGTGCTGGCATTACAGGTGTGCAGCACCATGCCCGGTGACTGCTTCATTCTTTTCTACATGTTGTACTCTTATTTCTCTAGCTTTTTTGTAGTTTCTAGTTTACCTGTCAGCTCCCTCTCAATTCTCGGAGATCTACTTTTTTTTTTCTTCCTCTTCATCAAGTTATGTAGGTGTCTTTATTCTTGGTGCTGGAGAAGCTGTATTTTTGCTACTCCACATTTTTTCTCTTCCTGCATTATTCATCTCTTAAACTTCACAATTACTTTGTTATCTCCTCACTTGTGTGTGACCTATAGGTAGAATTTACAGGTTACATATGCCATTTCAGATAACCAGATATTACTTATATTGCCAAATATCATAAAATCAGTTTCAGAGTTTTTAAAAATCATAGCCTTGCTTTTAACAGTGAAAATATTCTGTAGTCTGGTCCACAGTTAAATAAATTGTGAAATGTCGTGCCATGAAATACCATACAATATTTAGAAGTTGTTTTTGAAAACATTTAACACATGGAAAATGTTTCCAATATTAAGTGAAAATTTAGAATACACAACTGAATTTAGAATTTGATCCTGAGCTGGGATATAGCTCAGTAGTAACGTGCTTGCCTCTAGCTCCACATTAAAAAAAAGAAGTAGAATTTGATTATAATTTAAATAACAATTGAAATATATTGCAATATTGGATGTTTGGGTAGTAAGATTCTGGATGAATTTTGTTTTCTTCACTAACTTTCTTTGGTTTATTTTATTTTACATACATATTTTTTCTGTACTGGGGATTGAATTCAGGCAGTGTTGAACTACATCCTCAGGTCTTTCTATCTGATTATTTTAAGGTGAGTTCTCACCAAGTTGTCCAGGCTGGCCTTGAATTTGAGATCCTCTTGTCAAGCCTCCCAGGTAGCTGTGATTACAGCCATCACCACCATACCAGGACTATATTTCCCAAATTTCTTACCATGGACATATACTTCTGTAATTGGAGGGAAGTTATAGTGTTTTAACTTGCCAGACATTTTAAGCAAGCCAAGGTTTCTGTCTGATATTAATGTGAGTAGATCTTAGGTACCCTCTTTTGTATCCAACTTCAGTTGGATAATAATTCTTCACTAAAAGCAACATAATAAATCTGCTTGAGTACCATACTCTGAAAGTTACTGGTGTGTGACATCATTAATGAATAGGTTTTTTGTTTTTTGTGGGGCTGGACATTGAATGCAAGGCCTCATACCTTGAGATACATCCCCAACCTTGATGGATAGAATTTAACAGAAGTCTTACTTCTTACTTTTCAGTTAGTTCTTTCATATTAAGGATGAGAATTGTAATAAAATTTATCATTAAAAACTAAGGATAGCAAGGAAGGAAATTATAATGATCAGAGCAGAAATTAATAAAATTGACCCTATAATTTCCTTCCTTGCATTAGCTTTGGATTTGTATTGTTCTTGTTTTTGCATAGCTCTGAGGTACATGATTTAGCTGTTTATGTGAACTTACTCTGTTTTTCAGATGTGGACATTCCCAGCTATAAACTTGACTCTTAGGACTGCTTTCATTGTGTCCCGTAGGTTCTGGTATGTTGTGCCTTTGTCATTTGACTCTGAGAACTCTAGTTTCTTCCTTGATTTCTTCAGTGACCTATTGATTATTAAAGAATGTATTTTTAAATTTTCATATTTTTGCATAGTTTCTGTGGTTTATTTTGCCATTGATTTTTGGTGTCTTTGCATTAATGTCTGATAATATACATGGAACAAATTTTTTCTTTGGTACCAGGAATCAAGCTCAGGACCTTGTACTACATGGGACAATGTTAATGCTTTTGCATATATTAAAGCTAAAAACTGCTTTTGTATTTTATCAGCAAAAAAAAAAAAAGAACTAACGATAGCTATTGTATCTTGGATGACTGTGACTAGGCCAAGTAGGCACTGGGGTAGAGAAGTATTTAACCTTATTTGTTACATGCAAAGAATTAAAACTTAATTTTCCCACATGCAGCAAATTAATAAAACATTAAATCTCCTATTAGAAAGCATTGAATTTCAGTGACTTTTTCTTTAATCCTTACAATTACTATTAAAATGTGATATAAAAATTTAAAAGTTTTTGGGTGTAGCTCAGTGATAGAGTGTTTGTATAGCTTGTACAAGGCTCTGAGTTTGATTCTCAGCACTGCTACAAAATAAATAAAAAAGAAAATTGGGCATGGTAGTGCATGCCTCCCAGGAGGCCAATGCAGAAGGATCACTGCAAGTTAGAGGCCAGCTTTTGCTATGTAGTAAGTTCAAAGTCAACCTGAACTAATAGCAAGACCCTATCTCAAAAAACAAAAATAAATAAGTAAATAAATGGAAGTGTTGATTTAAAATAAGAAATAATAAATTATATGATATATATATGCGACGTTGTATTTGGTTAGAAAGGAACAAGTTCTTAATTGGCCAGTATTTGGTATTTCTGAGATCAGATGAGATTGGGCATGTTCAGGGTGGTATGGCCATAGACCAATATTTGGTATTTCTGTTCCCAGTATTGTAGCATGTATCGGTAGAATAGAAGAGACATTTTAATCCATGGACCAAAATATTTATCCATGGAAAAATTTTTTCTGAAAATAAATATACATTTTTAGATTAATATTTGATTTATGCTTTTAATCCCTTAGAATAATTTATGATCTCTTTTTTTCCTTCAGGCTTATCAAAGTTTTGGCTTTTTGCAAGAACTGGTCAAGATTTAATGTTCCTCTGGTGAAAGTGTGCATACTGTGACTTATGTCGGCCCAAGAAATACATAAACATGCTGTTCTCCCTCCTATCATTAGCAGAAGTGACAAGGAATTTTTGGAAAGTATGCAAAGATACATAATTACGGAAACTGAAAGTGTGGGCTGTAATGAGAAAGGACCTGCTGATGAATATTATATCATATACAGAAATGTTTTTGATAAGGTATTACAATGCTCTTGAGAATATTAAGTTTTTGCCCCCTTATATTCCTGCCTTACTAATAACAATGCTTGTTATACTATGTTCTGCTGGCCGTTCTTCAGAAGTTCATCCAACTTTTCTGAAAGAGATGAATGGGGAAAATGCAATGTTGGATTTATATTACCTGCTAATAAGAGTTTTCTTATTTTAGCTTACAAGTTAATTTATTTATTTATTTTTATTTTTTGGTGGTACTGAGGGTTGAACCCATGGCCTTCAGACTAAGCTACATCCCCTGCTTGGTAAACAAGGGGTTTGACTGAATTTACAGGATATACTAATGGAGATCAGATTAAAGAGTACTGAATATTGGATTTTGCTCTTTAAAATTTTATAAATAACTTTTTCCTTATAAACAACTACATATTTCCCATTGATTCTAATTATTTTGCCTTAAAAAAACAAAACAAAACAAAAACCTCCTTTGAAAGAGGCCCTGACAGTAAACCAAGTGATGTCAGTATCCTTTCCTCTTTGCCTAGAGCAAGTGCTTACCTTCAGACTTTGGTAAACTATTGGTCTCTGAGTAAAACAGACAAAACAGAAAATCAGCCTTTTGTTTAATTTTTAAATATGACATTATAACTCTTACTTCTTCTCTAAATAAAAACCTAGTGTGCATAGCCAAGTGTGGTGGTACATTCCTGTAATCCTAACACTCTAGGAGGCCCAGGCAGAGAGATTACAAGTTCTAACCCAAACTGGATAATTCAGTGATACTCTGTCTCAAAATAAAAAATAAAATGGGCTGGGGATGTAGCTCAATGCAAAGGTCCTGGGTTCAATTTCCAGTGGCAAAAACAGAAACAAAACTTCAAGTGCCTCACTCTAGGAAAAATAGGATGTGACGTCATGTTATATATCTACAAGCAGAATTAAGAAAATTGTATAAAATAGAGAAAAGGCATCTTCACTCCTCCTAAATCATCCAGAAAAATCTGTCTTTTGGAATTGGTACATTAGCAGATTATCTTCACTTTATATGTTCTGATGATCACTGGTATTGACGATCACTGTTGGTCTTTTAGTTATTAAGGAATATTGGGTGAATGTTTAAATAAAGGGAGTACCTTGAATAGGTTTCATAAATATCAGGAGTCATGCTGAGACTTCTTGTGTGAAATCAGCAAAGGAAATTATGTAAACTGCTTATCTTTGCATGCCTGAATGCTGACTTGTCAGAACTTTTCTTACCTGAAGAGCTGTCTGCTTTAAATTAGTATATAGTGAAATCGTTTTTCATTTGGTGCTGGTAAATTTAATTCTTAGAGAAAATACATGGCATTCTATAATCCTTCTTTTCTCTCCTCCAGGATTTCTATCTGGACTGTTTGTGCATTGTGTAACTATAAGTTGTACATTTTGACACTGTAAATAACTCTATTCTTCAGGACTGAGAGGAAATCTGAAATAGAAATGATTTGATACTTCTAGAAGAGAATAACTTTTCTTCTATCTTCTTTTTCATTTTCACATGATACCAGCAATTTTTTTTTTTTTTTTTTTGGTACCAGGGATTGAACTTGGGTCCTTGTACTTGCAAGGCAGGCACCAGAACCACTAAGCTAAATCCCTGGCCCAAGCACATTTCATTTTTAAAAATTCATTAAGTTTATTGATTCATTTTAGGTATACAATGTGATGACATTCATCATTGGAAATTTATACCTGCACATTATATATCATGTCCCCTCCCCCGCCATTTCCCTGCCCTCCCTTTAACCCCTCCACCCCTCCCTATTTACAAAGACTTTGTTTCCGTTTTTTTCCTTTCCCTTCTTTCCTTTCCCTTAGCACCTTTTATTGTTAACAATCTGATTTAATTGATTTGTCTTCTGTGATACTGTTTCTCTCTTGGAAGGATCTAGTTGGGCAGAAGATAAAAGTTTCAACTTAACATCTCTGGATACTGGGAACTGGAGAACAAATATCAAAACAAATTATGTTTGAAGTAATTTGGCTTAGAGATGTCTGAATCAAAGCAGAGAGGGCCTGAGATTCATACAAAGAGTTGATTATAGAATGAGTCCGTGATCTAGTAAGCAAAGAAGACCAAAGCTAGAAGAGCCTATAGAATGGATTCTTATATAGGCAACTGGATTCTAGAATAAATCCAATCTAATGTTCCAGCTATTACTGCCATGAAGGAATGGGGGTTCCACATTGGTAAACTTTTTATCATTTTCAAGAGAAGATGAAAATAAGATTTTTCTAAATTTTAGAATATTTCATAGGTTAGTTGAAATTGCCAGCTGTATCCTACCTGTGACATATGAGTTTGCATTCTCTATTTTAATGTATTTTCTGTGTATTTTCAAAGGTATCCATGAGTGTTCTTCTGAAATCTGTTTCTTCTAGAAAACTGATATGGAAGCTGATTGTTGGAGCACATCACAGGGGTACATGAAATAGAGGAAGGCCAGGAATAGCAAGTTGCTTAATTGGGAAAACACAAATAGTGACCTCTATTTTATTACTGAATTGTATTTTGATTTGGGTGGATAGTAGTATGATATCAAATAAAGAACCTGTATCTTCTACTTAAATATCTTCTGGTACTTGGCACTGAGTAATCTGTCTCTCTATCCATCCATCCATCCATCCATCTGTCCATCCATCCCCAGGGCCTTTACACTGACCTACATCACAGCCCTTTTTGATTTTTGAGACAGGGTCAGACTAGGTTGCCAAGTTCCCCAGGTGGACTTGAATTTAGGATCCTCCTGTCTCATCTTCCAAGGGGTAGGATTATAGGCAGGTGGTATGCCACCATGTCATTTCCTTATTTTGTATCTTGATAGGTCAAGTGTCTTCCTGGATAACTTTTTCTAGATATTGTCTAGCTAAAGGTAACCAGAGTGGATACCAGACACTAGAAATGTAGTAGGGGTTCATAGAAAATTTTGATCACTTCTGTTCCTTATGTACACTAATCTGTTCCTTATGTACACCTAAGATCTATGCTCTTAAATCCTCATGAGCAAAATTTGGCAACCATAAATTATGACATTTCTGTTTTAAAAAAATTTTTGATGATTAATTTTTGCATGGATAATGCATATATAAGATTAAGGAAAAAAGAAAGCCAACGCAGGAGAGTATATGAAGGAAGTTTAGGCCCTTCTCATCTCAGACCTTTTCCTTCTCTTCAGGCACACCCCCGTCTTTTGTTACTCTTTCTTCTATTATTTTCTTCTGTTATTCTTCCTGAGTATTCTTTGCCTAACACCATTGGAAGCCATAAATGTATAGTGATGAGAGGTTTCTTACAGTTTTATTTACATCTCGGAGGTAGAAATGCAATTAGGAATTGAGAGTATTGCTTAACCAATATGAGTTGATAGGTTAGAAAAATAGGTGAAGGGAGTTCAGGCTCTTAAGGTTTAAATGAACTCAGAGATTAGATTTGGAGCGAGTAAGAGAAGATATGTAATTTAAAAATCAAGAATTGTGAAAACTAGATTTGGTGTTAGATTTTTTTGTTTGTTTATTTTTTAAGACAGGGTCTCACTATTATAATCTAGGCTTGAACTCTGTATAAACAGGCTGGCTTTGAATTCAAGATAATCCTCCTTCAACCTTCTGAGTACTAGTCATTTTTAAATTTGCTGGAAAACTTTTAGATATCTATTTATTAATTGTGTTTCATTTTAAAAAAATCTGTAATTGTTTGAAAAGCTTTTGATCTATATACTTTCAGAAAAGATTCATTACCGTAGTCAGAAAAAAAATCGTATTTCAGGTCATAGAGTATGTTACCGCATACAAATCCATTCTTACTTCAATCAAAAAAGAATATGATGCCTTTATTGAGACAATAAAGAAGAGCCAGAGAACTGCATTTTGTCTTCATGGAAAACTTAAGGCTTTGGCAGCAGAGCCTACAGCTTTGGTATATCACCAGAGAAGAACAATCCAACTCAAGGAAAAGTGAGTAAATTAGTAAGTAGTCCAAAAGGTGATGATTATTACTTAATCACAATAACCAGTCAGTATAACTTTAACCAGTGGTTCATAGTCTTTTTAATTTCATGTAAGATTTAAAAGCCATATTTTATGTTATCTTCTGCTTCCAATTTTTTATGTATTTTAAGTAAAATGTTATTTTTGTTTGAAAATTTTATGATACCTTTTACTATAAGTGGAGGCAAATGGTGGTATAATAAAATGAGAGATGCAGATAATTTCTTGCATGGAAGATTTGATAATTTCCTGATTATTGTCTGAAATACTTAATCCTGTAATACATAAAGATAAGTAACCTACTGAAGAGAATAAAGTGTTCACTCTTGTTGAGTAGTCTTATGTTTTCAGTGTTACTTTTAGCAAATGTTAAATTATTTGTGTAGATGATTTCAAATTAACTTGGAAAATTGTGTACTTTTACTTCCATTTCTGATAATATGGCTGCCTAGATTTTGGAATAGATTTTCCTGGAGAAAAATGCTACCTAAAATGTTTTTAAAAAGCCTCCCTAAAAGCATAAACTGAATAACTGATAATGTGAAATAGGAATAAAAGATACTAAGGGGCAGGGGAAATGAGAAGGGGTGGGGAAAGGAAAGAAGGGAAAGGAAAAAAATATGAGATAAGAAATAAATGGAAATAGGGCCTGGGATTTAGCTCAGTGGTGCCACTGCCTGCCTTACAAGCTCAAGGCCTAGGAGTTTGATCCCTGGTACAAAAAAAAAAAAGAAAGAAAGAAATGGAAACAAAGATTTTGCACATAGGGAAGGGTGGAGGGGTTGAAGGGAGGACAGGAGAATGGGGAAAAAGTAGGAACCAAAGAGATATGTTCCCTATGATCAGTGTAACTATATTAAGGTTAGAGTTAGGGTTAGGGCCAGGGATTTAGCTCAGTGGTTCTGCTGCCTGCCTTGCAAGCACAAGGTCTGGAGTTCAATCCCCAGCATGTCCCCCACCCCCAAAAAGCAGAAGTTGGCAGCAGTTATCAACTAAGAAAGTGATTATTTCTCTTTAGTTTTGGTACTGGGGATTGAGCCCAGGTTTGAACCTAAGGTCTCATATTCAGTCACATCCCCAGTTCTGTTTTATTACTTTTTGAAACAAGATTCAATTTGCCTAGGCTGGGCTCAAATTTGTGACCCTCCTGCCTCAGCCTCCTGAGTAGCTGGGATTATAGGTGTGTGCCATCATGCTTGTTGAGAGATTAGGTTTTAATTTGAAAGAAAAACTGTGTCTTATTTATTGACAAAGGTTATCAAACTCAGGCTTCACTGAACTTTTTTTCAACTAGGCTTGATTTTTGAACTTTCATATTCACCTGGTACTATTCAGATTTAGCAAGAGTCCTGTCAGGTTGTTTTAGGCAGAACTCCCACCTCTTGATATGTGGTCATTTTCAGTGTTTGACCCCACATGTTGACGATCCCCTTGGGCTGCCATCCAAGGAATCCAGGGCTAGGTCATTTTATCTGCAATCTCTCCTTCCAGTGTTTCCTCTTAGTAATTTTCCACCTGCTCCTTCTTGACTACAAACTCCCACTTGGCAAAACTGTATTTGGAGTTGAGCTCAGTCTTCCTCCCCCACCACAAAACCCTATCACGTTTGTTGCCATAGCCCCTCTTGCTTCAATAGTCATCTTTACCTTGTTTTAGCAATTGTGATGAATTATTTTCCTGTAACAGTATGTAATTTACTTTAATCTGTTATTTCCTAATTTATTTTAATCTGCTATTTCTCCTTTATGCCTGTAAAGTGAGGACATACATTTCAAATAATCCTTAAAACAAAGTTTTTAGCTAGGCACAGTGGCACACGCCTGTAATTCCAGCTACCTGAGAGGCCGAGGTAGAAGGACTAGGAATTCAAGACCAGTCTAGGCATCACACCAAGACGTTGTCTCAAATACAAAAAAATAAACAAATGGACAAATAAAACAAGAAAGTGAGGAGAAAGGGGGAAGGAAGGAATAAATAAATGACTGAAGGGAGGAATTTGTACTAATTTTAGATTTTTAAGATTCTCTTCTGAATGAACTTAATTTTACCTCAGAGAAGTGATGTCCTTCCTCTAGTTCTAGGATCACTGTTACTGCATTTGGCTGAATAAAGATCCTCAGAAATACCAGGTTCTATTCCCTGTAACTTGTAATTTTTAACTTTATTTGAAAAATGGTCTTTGCACATATAAGTGAATTAAGGCTTGTGAGGTATGGAAATTAAGCAGATGGGCCCTAGACCCAATCATGAGTACCCTTTTAAGAGGGATCTTGGACACAGGGATAAAAGGCAATGTGACTGTGGAGAAAATGATTGAAGTTTTGCATCTACAGAATTTTTGCAGCCCTCAGAGGCTATCAGAGGCAGGGAACAGATTTTCTCCCAGAGCTTCCAGAGGAAGCACAGCCTATAAAATTTTACTTTGGTCTGGTAATACTGATTTTGTGTTTCTGTACTCCAGCATAGTGAGGCAATAATTTCCATTATTTTTAAGTCACTAAGTTTGTATTGATTTTTATAATAGCCACAGAAAACTAGTACAGTTATTTACAAAAACAGTTTTTAAATTGCAAAAGTAACTTTTAACTACAAGGAATAGATAGTATTTTGAAGTGAGATTATGTTTAACACTTTTGAATTTACTAGGGGATTAATAATTGTTGTGTTAGATTTTACTGATGTTCTGAAAGAAAATACTTCCATATTTGTAAATTTAACTTTTTTAGGATATTGTTTCCTAAACTTCTACCTACTTGATATGATTCAAAATAATTAACCAAAATAATGACTTAACCTGTTTTATTTTAAATCTCATGACTCAAGAATTAAGTTAGTTGAAAGGAACATTCAGAATGCCTTTCTGTTTTTTCAGAATAAGGATTATTAAAAATAATTCCTTGAAGATTCAATTGCAAATAGATCAAGTGAAACAGCTTAGGGCAGAGTATGATGCGAAAGAAGTAAAATACTGTACTTCCACCAAAGATTCTGCAAAACCTATTCCAGGTACTGTTTCTCATTTTTTAAATTTATTTATTTATTTATTTATTTATTTATATATTTGGTACTGGGGATCGAACTTGGGTCCTTGTTCTTATGAAGCAGGTGGCGGAACCACTGAGCTAAATCCCTGATCCCTGTTTCTCATTTAAAATGTTTACTTTAAATCCTAGTTATTTCCAGTTACTACCTATTACAAAGTAATGTAATTGTACTTTTATATGATCACTATCCAGTTGTATGTTGTACAAACTACTTTAGTAAGGGTTTTTAGGTTGACACACCGGAAACAGAAAACTTTAAACAACCCTGAAAGATCACATGAGTTCCAATTTGGCTGAATTAAGTGTAGTTTATTTATCAACTTTGGCATCATTGGGAACCAGTTAGAATGCAAATTATTGGACCTCACTGCAGACATACCATGTAAGGAACTAGGTGTTTGAGTCTAAGTATTTTAAAAAGTTGTAGTTATTTTGAGAACACCAAGGTATAATGTGGAAAAACTGTAGTGCATTAAGTTTTGAGGACTATTATTATTATTTTTAAAATTAATTTTATTGGTACATTTTAGGAATATAATATAATTACATTCATCATTGGAAATTGCCCTTTTGGGGGACTATTACTGATTCATGTTGATATTAGCATTCGCTGGTTTCACAACTGTAGTATAATATAGTATTACCACATTTTAAGAAAGTGGGAGATTTAGCTCAGTAGTCCTGCCATCTGCCTTGCAAGCACGAGATCCCAAATTCAATCCCTGGTACCAAAAAAAAAAAAAAAA